GGGAAAGTCGGGAAGAAACCAAAAGAGAGAAGAAGCAGAAGAGGAAACGACGAAGAAGCTCTACGTGGCGCGGAGGAGAGAGAGAGAGAGAGAGAGAAGGCGGTGAAATGTGTTTGGGGAGCGATTCGTTGAGTACTTGGCTCAAAGGGTCAACAGTGGGATCATGCCGATACCTGGTGCAAAATCTTGGGCCCCACCACGTCCTCGGTCAATGGACGACGTGGCTAGATCTGGATGTGGGAACAGCTTTCGAATATCTAAGGATGTTCTTTAGGATCTAAAGCAGAGCATAGCTGTTCAGTTCGATAATGTAAATTTTTAATTTGAGTTAAGATGTGATTTTATATGAAAATTTTTTATTATAGTAAAAAAATTAGATGTGATTATTTCTAAAATTTTTTTACTATAACAAAATTTGAATTAGTGAAATAAACGGGGCCTATATTACAAAAATTATGGTCTCGAACATTATGGTCTCGTTCAGTTTGTTCATTTGAGTTTTTAATTTGAATTGAGATGTGATTTTATGTGACAGTTTTTTATTGTAGTAAAAAAGATAAATGTGACTTTTTATGAGAGCTTTTAACTAGACAAAATTAAAATTAAAAACTCGAATATGTGAAATGAACGAGGCTTAAGAAAATGCAAAACTAGGAAGAAAACTTTAGAGAGAGAAACTTGAGAAATCTTGTGAAATTGTATAAAATGAAGAGTCTTAGAGCTTTATTTATAGAAAAAATTTGGCACTATTCATAGTTAATATTTACACAGTACTTACTACTTATGGTTACTATTTGCACAGTAAGATTCTGACATGAATAGTAATTTTGATCGATTTACATAATAACTTTGACTGACTTATATAGTAATTTTGACTGAGGTGGACAGCTACTATATATAACATTTCCCTTTAGATATCAATCATTCATGATGCATCATAAAAAACCTTACTAGAAAAAATCCAGTGGGATAAAAACTATAGCAAAGGGAAAAATAGTACATCATTTATCTATACGTGTTTATGTTGTCTTATAAAAAACCTTATTAAAAAAATTTAGTGGGATAAAACCATAATAAGGGAAAAAGAGTATAGCCACGTAAACTCCCCCTCAAGTTGACATGTATAGGCCTTGCTCATAAATCTCGCAGATAACGCATCATAATATTGTGGATATGTTTTTTTAACGTTGTAGTGGACAGTGCCTTTGTGAAAAGATTTGTTGCATTGTCACTTGATCGAATGTATTGAATACCAATATCTTTATTCTTTTTGAGCTCATGGGAGTATAAGAACAACTTCGGAGGCATGTGTTTGGTTCTATCGCTTTTGACGTAACCTTCCTTTATTTGAGCGACACGTATTGCATTGTCTTCAAATCATACTGTTGGATCTTTACTGAAATATAGTCCGTAATTTTCTTGGATATATTGAGTCATAGACATCAGACATACACATTCTCGACTTGTCATGGAGTGCAATAACTTCGGTATAATTTGAAGAAGTGGCAACAAGTGTTTGCTTTTGTGAACGCCATGAAACAACAGTACCTCTACATGTGAATACGTATCTAGTTTGAGACCTAACTTTGTGTGGAACTGACAAACATCCTGCATCTGTAAAACCAATCATTCTTTATTTTGATCAATTAGGATAAAACAATCCTAAATCGACTGCATGTTTAATTTCGTTCCAATGTCTCCATGTAAGATATGAGCTAAATCTTGCTAATAGATTAGTAGCAAAAGCTATATCTAGATGGGTACAATTAGCAAGATACATAAGAGCTCTAATTTCACTCAAATATGGTACTTCGACACCAATGACTTTTTCATTTCCATCTCAAGGACGAAATGGATCCTTTTCCTAATCAAGTAGTTGTACCATTATCGAGAAACTCAATTATGCTCCTTTTTCATATAAAATGGTCTAAGATCTTTTATGTATTAGTTGTAAAATGTATGAAATATTCCATAAGACAAATGTTCAACCTACAAATCGAGGCAAAACTTTATTTTTTTTTTTTTAAATTCTTCATCTCGAAATCTTTGTTTATATATGCAACAATTTCTTTGAACTCTTCAAGAGTTATAATAATATTTAAGTTATCAATATTTTATACAACAAATGATAGCTAGCAAATCTGAATTTTGATCATCTCGTGAAAAATGCATGGACAAATAGCATTGTATACAAAACCTTCCTTTGAGAGATATACGCTAAGATGATTATGTCTCATACATCCGTATTGCTTTAGTCCATACAAAAATCTGTGTAGTTTAGTTGAACACATTTCCCGAGATAAGCGTCTTAAATCCTTCATGGCATTCATATAAATGTCACTTTTTAGTGAACCTTATAAATATGTGGTTACCACATTTATTAGACGCATATCAAGTCCTTCAGGGACAATCAGGCTAATGACATACGTAAGATAATTGCATCCTCCACAAGAGGATATGTTTCTTCATAAAAATCTATTTATATCCCACAAGTTTCATAGCTTCAGGCGTGATGACAATAGATCCAAACACTTTACACTTATAAAGCAATTTAATTTAGCATGTATAGCGTCTTTCCATTTTGGCCAATTATTTTTACATCGATACTTTTTGACGAAATTTGGTTCAAGATCCTCACTTTCTTTCATTATATCAAGCGTTATTTCAACTGTAAATACATTATTAACAACAATCTTATCATGGTTTCATTCTTTACACGTACTGACATAATTTATTAAGATCTCAATATTTTCACTATTTCAGATACTTAGACCACTTCAAAGGTCTTTATGTCAGTTATTGGTTCAGGAGTGCCAGTTCGTGTAACTTTTTCTTTTTCTCTTTTGCAGATTTTTAACATTTTAGAACCGATTAGTTTACCACGCTGCAGGCATGCCTTATACTCATTTACTGCTATATTTTTCAAATTTTTTCCGTCAGGGACATTAGTATGAGCTGAAACAATAGCAACTGATGTATGTGTATGTGATTTAGTCACTTTCTTTATATAAGTAAATGCATCTAGTAATTGATTCGTTGAAGTACTTCTAACTTACATTGATTAGTGCGAGAAACAAACATGCATTCCACAAAATATCATTTTGTTTTTCCAACCTTTTCGTTTCTCTCCCTTATGTTGGGAATGCTATTTTATATTCAAATAAGCAATCCTTGCTGTAAAAATGCAATCCGTTAGGAATTTAAGAAATTTAAATATGCAAAGGATTTTAAAACCTGTCATAAATTTCCAGCTTTCTTTGAGTATCCATCTTAGAGCATTGTGGTGGAGCAACTAGAACATTTTTTGACCAAATGTCAATTGTAATGGGGAGTACTTATTATAAATCTCTGGTTTGATGCAAATTAATACAATAGTATGTAAAATTGCATGATCCTATATAGAAATAGGAAATTGTGTTCTCATTATTAATGATCTAGCAATTTGTTGAAGGCTCTCAATCAATGATTCAACCGAACCATTTTGTGAGAGTAATAAAGTGTTTAACAATAATCTCAATGGTCATAACAATTATTAAAGGCTTGAGATGTAAATTCACCAGTATTATTAAGTCTAACTTTCTTGATTGTATATAATCAAAAATTGTGCTCGTAATCTAATTAACTGAGCAAGAAATCTCGCAAATGCCAATTGCGAGTTGATAATAGATAAATATGGGAACTTCTACTAGATACATATATCAATCTGCACGGTTAATGTATGAGTCACTTATATCACCTTCAATATTTTCACTTTGAATATGTTTAAGAAATGTAGGTAATTTTGTCACAATTTTAGCTAGTGAAAGCCTTATGATCAATTTATCCAGAGAATAAGCTTTACATGGAATTTTCTTGATTTAAAAGATCTTTTAGCCTTTCAATGAATGTCCATATGGATTTTCAATTATTCATCACATGATTATTAAACCAGGATAGTCGAAATGATCATGCCATAAAATTAATGTTTGCATTTTTTTTTAATTACTATATGTGATTAAATCAAATTTATATATGCGTAATGCAATTCTGAAGAAAACATTTGTAGTTTTCTAATGTGCACTTCTTAGTAATAAGATACATATATTCCATGCTATTTTCAATTAGGTCTACATGGCCTTATATTTAAGGATAGTGTGCATTGTATCACTATCTCGTATGTAAATATCCTCAACATTAATAAAACTCGAGAATCTGAAATTAATCCATAGAGAAGTTAATTTATGATTATAAGATCACAAATAAGTATACAACTGAATTTAAAAAGAAATGAAAACATATGCTATAATACTATTTATAAGTATGGTACTATTCATAAGTACTATTCACAAGTATGTTATTGTTCATACATATAGTACTATTCTTTGGTACTATTTATTGATTCCTTCCATATCATACTTTTATACAAAGAGATAGCAATGTCTTAACATTTCATGAAATTATTCAAATGTCATAACACAACATTCATGAAAATCAAGTACAATATCAATACGTTCGAGCACATTTATATATATATATATATATCAAAATATTACCAATGATACTTTTAACAAGATCAACAGTAAGTTTGTGATGTCAAGATGAATTAAGTAATTGATAGAGTCGTGGTGTTCATTAAAATTGACTTCCTTTTCTTTCTTGTTTAGAGATGCCTTAAAAATGTTACAAAGGTATTATGATGCTCGACAAATTCGATGCTAGTTACTATTTAATATCGCATCTATAACAAGAACCTTCAAGATTCTGGGAAGAACTTCCATTAACATCTTCTCATTTATCATGATGTTTCTTTTGGATCATATCATTCCTTGAAGGGTTGTAATAACTACTTCTACCGTGTTCTTGGCT